TGTGTTTTTCCCCTCTTCCCATTTTCGTATTTCTTGAGTATTCTTTCAAAAGGGAGCTATTCAACCCTCTCTCCACCCAACCTCTTTCACAACTGCCGGGCTCTCCTCCTCTCTCTTCTCTCTTTCTCCTCTCTCTCTCTCTCTCTCTCTCGTCCTTCTCTTTTCCCTCACTCTCTCCTCTTTTTTTTTTTTTAACACAGGGTTGACAAGGTTAAGGGTCTCTCTCTTCTCCATCCCTCTCTCCCTCTCTTTTTCTTCTCTCTTTTTTCTCTGAAAACTCAATTTTTAAGTCACTATTTCTCTCAAAGCTTCTTATTAGATCACAATCAAAGCTTCGTCTCGAGGCTAAGATTGATGCTGAATTGTATCGATGTCTAAGTCACACAGCATTCACTCCCACAAATTATGTATATTGATGGCTCTGTTAACGTCACTGGCGGCGCCGTTGGTGCTATGCTGAGTAGTGGCTGTTGCACAGATCGTGGAACACACGCATCTACAGTTGGGATTCCACCCTTCAAAGTGAACTGTTTGCCATGCTTCTTGTATTCAAATGTCACCTTAAGATGTTTGAACACATCTCATCCCATCATTCGTAAATGCACTTAACTTCATGAGTGCCAGCTGTGATATGCTGGTGTCAGGAGCCAGACACGGGAACGGTAGAATTGTTGACAGAGGAATCAGAATACAGTACACCTTTAGAGGATTCACTCTCACATTGGTCTTCAAAGGTCCGATAAAGCTAATGAATGGGCTAAGGCTTATTTATACCTTCAAGGAGGAAGCTGCGTACAATTCTGGATTGTCTAAGAATAGTTTCAGAACAATTATACAAAATGAGAGATTTGACTGAACTTCTTTAATTTAAGACAAAGGGGGACTGACTTCATTATGTCCATCAAACATTTAGTCAAGACAGGAAAAGTACCATGCTATGGGACATCTAAAAAAATCAAAAGACATTAATTGACTTCGGCTGGGGGTACAAGCACTACCAGCTAAATGTAAAAACAGTTAAATGGGGAAACATTGCCGGGGGAACGTTCTTTAAACTACATGGCGCTGGAAGCAAAAACAAAATCATGAATTAAGAAACAACTCGCTCACAAACGGGTTTAAGAAGTGTTAGGTGGGTATTATCTGCCCCTTTTTGAAAAAAAATTACCCTGAGCTATTTTTAAATTTCAGAAAATATCTAACACTCATAGCTACAATGTAATTTCTGGCGACTGTAATCATGACTGAAGCTCAATACACTTGTAAATATTCATACCATAAAATTGCTTATGAACACAAGTGTTGAAACCATCCCTGGGTCCATTGTGTGTTTCTGTAATCCTTCGAGTACCGCTCACTGGCTCGGTATGATTAATAAAGATAGAAAACTACCTCTAGTGAAGGGTACATGTAGTGTAACTGTTTGCTACCCGTCTTGTGGTACTTCAATTGTCCTCTCGTTGTCCACAAACTGAGTCATGTGTGTAACGTTGTTTGCATTTGCTGAACACAACAGTAAAGGCGCCCTGTCTTAACGGGTGTTGAAGGCTCTGCTGAAATGACAAGAGCCCTCCAGGCCGGGTCGGGGTAACAGATAAGTCACCTTGCATGGTTCTTTATTCTGTGCAGAAGTCGTAGATAAAGACTGAAAGAGGGGAGATAGAGGTCAGGCAATCCTAGAAAGTGATGAAGACTCAATGAAGTACACATATGCCTCGTCAAAGGGTTTTTCAGCCCTTTCTGTCGAGGATTTCACAGTAAGCCTTATAGCTGTTAGCTTCTCGGCGCCTTGACATATTTACACACGGATTCCTTCATACAATTCTGGAGCGTAATTTCCCCTACGAATCTATTCATTACTGGCTAGAAACTTCCATGAATTTTTACTACACCCGTAAAACATTGTTGCCTGAAGTCAATCATCATTTTTATTTTCTGAGAAGCAAATGAATCAAAAACTTTTTCTCAGGGTTGAAAAGCTGTAAGCTGGTGACTGATGTATTTGAGAGCACTGGAAATTCTCTCTTGCATAAATATGAGAGTAGAGTCATCTGCAAGAATGGGAAATTTCCGGGGGGTGGGGAGACAAGACAGACAATTTCATAAACCTGAATACGCAAACTCCCTGTAAAACGCTACAAACCAGTTTTAGCGGCTGTAGACCCCTTCACGAGAGCACTCATAGGTATTCGCAAAGGAAGTGGCACTGAGCCAGAATCTACAATGCTTGACTTTCCCACGAGCCCTCTGCGACTCATCGAAGGCACCATCAATGTACAGTACCATTACACAGCTGATACCGGATCTACTATGTGACTGGTGACATATGGTGGAGAGGTCTACCTGGATCTACCTGGATCTACCTGGGTCTACCTGGTGCTCTATTATTCAGCACTGTTTGGCTCTTGTTTAGAAAACAGGGACAATATTACCTTTACCCTGCTAAAGGATATTATTTACTGTCTACCAAAGTTGAAAGATGCCAGTTACAAATGATGCTAATCAGCACTCTGAGTAATCTTGGACTCACCTTGTCAGAGCTCACAGCCTTTTCTTGGTCCGGGAATTTAAGAGATATACCTCATCTTGTTTCATTATCACCTCCAGCAAGTTTGACAGTTCTTACGACTAGCACCGGAGGTTTCCTAGGTGGGTCAGGGACTTGCATCTTGGCAGCAAAATGTTCAGCAAGTGGGTCAGCTTTTTCTTGATGGTTGGTAGTGTGCGAGTTCCATCCCGTCTATTTAGAGGTGGAATGGTGCCATCAGGTGAATATTTTTGTTAGTCATAGACCAGGAACCTCGAGGTGTTTTGAGGCCCACTCTTCCCGATGCCAGTTTTCATTGTGTGTGTGTGTTTGTGTCTCTCTCTCTCTCTCTCTCTCTCTCTCTCTCTCTCTCTCTCTCTCTCTCTCTCTCTCTCTCTCTCTCTCTCTCTCTCCCCCTCTCCATCTTGGCTTCATTTTCCTCATCACGACGACTATTTCTGCTTTATTTGCCTTCTATGAATCTTTTATTCGGTCGTATAGATTTTTACCGCTTGTCTCTGTTTCTCTCTCTCTCTCTCTCTCTCTCTCTCTCTCTCTCTCTCCTCTCTCTCTCCTCTCTCTCTCTCTCTCTCTCTCTCATATATATATATATATATATATCCCATTTTAGTTAATATTTCCCCAAACAATATACACAAGAAATATTTGCTCCATGATATACATAGGATGTATATATTGAAGCGTAAATTAATTATTTATATAGTTGCCAAGTAGTCGGCAGCTACAGCAGTTATCATATCTATTTTCAGTACCATTTGTTAACTGTGTGTTGCTGCGCCTACTCTGTCTCCTCACTCGACCTTCTCTCTCTAATCACAACAGCTGGAAATGTTTAACGTTGTGGCCAGTGTACGGCAGCGGCAGCTCAATCACGATTAAAAAAAACTGTTTTCCAGTCACTGGCCAGAATGTCCTGGTGCAAATTTTGTCTGTTAAGGTTACGAACCGAAATTAGTGTGATACTAGAACAGGTAAAGCTAATTTTTTTCTAGTGTATATAGGAGGGGGGAGAGAGGGAGTGGGGGCAGATCACGAACTACTGCCCATTATTATTATTATAATCTAGGGGAAGCGCTAAACACGTAGGATTATACAGAGTCTGTTGGGGGAAGGGGGGGGGGCTGTATGGAAGGTACTCAGGCTTAATTCAGGGAACTGGAGCACAGATCCAGTTCCCTAAATCAAGAGCCCCTCACCAACATCAAGGAACCTTCCTTGAGGGGGAACTATTGCACAGCAATAAAGATGTGGTAGAGGGAGAAGTATGTGTTAAATGTAATTTTAATTGTGACTGTTAAATATAATTTTTTTGTGTGTGTTCATACTTAATGTTCACGTATTTCATTTTTGATGTATGTGATTTACTCCCGTTATTTATTATAATTTATTTTCATGCATTTGATTTACTCAGTTTATTTTGTTATTAATGTCAACAATGACTGATTTTTTCTCTCTTCTTTGTTGAATAGTTAACGTTGGCAGGACACCAGTGGAAATGTGTCACTTTTGTTCGGATTTATTTTGGGTTATCTTAAATAACTGTATCATGTTATGTAAGATAATTGTAATTATTCAAAGATTGCGTAATTGTACCTGTATTAATTTGCACATTACAAAGTACAAACCTCCTTCCCACCCATTCTCATTCCTACCTTTTCCATATCACTTCACACTTTCCATGCTTCCCTCCCTTTCCCTTCGTTCTACCCTCTCTCCTAACTTCCATTTCTTTCCCCTCTTCCCCAACCTCCTCTCTCTTTTTTACCCTTTCACTCTTTCCGCCTTATTTTGGCGTCCCCTTTCAACTTTCTCTTTTTCTCCCATCCCTCCCCGTTTCTCCCTGCTCCCTCTTTTCCTCAACTATCTGCCCCCTGCCCCGTCTCCCTGCCCTCGTCTCACTCGCCCCGACCTGAGGTGGAGATCAATGGAGGAACTTGTGTGACGCCCACACCTCCAGCCCCCCACCCCAGACCCCAACCATTGCCCCGTCCTGCCGCCACCCCACACCCCCAACCAGTGCCCCGTCCTGCCTGCACCCCAACTTCGTCCTTCCACCCTGCCCCCGTCCATCCCCTATTCCTACCTTCCCTGCCCCTCCTCTGGTCCTGCTTCAACGTCTGCCCTCGCTTGCCCTCCACCCATGTCAAGTACTGCCCCGCACCCCTACCCCACACTGCTTCCCACCCCTGTCAGGTATGGTTGTATATGAATATAAGTTATTACGTATTTGTATATGTATATTCATGAAGTTGTACGAGTTTTATTATTATTTATTATTATTATTATTTGATTAAATATGTGCATTTATATGGTTGTGTGTGTGTGTGTGCCCGCGCCCCCCCCCCCAGTTGTTGCGTTTTGTGTGTAAATAAGTGAATTAATATGTGCAGTTTTTTTTAACTAGCCTATCGACTTGGCCTGACCTTAGATAAATTAGTATTCATTATTGCAGTTTTGTCCTGGTTCAGCTGGGTCAGTCTACATGTAGCACAAGTAGAGTTCGTGCAAGATGTCAGGTTGTCTCGAGGTTAATGCAAGTATGTATTTTACGGTATATATAATGTATCTTTAAAATGCCAAGAGGCTGCTGCGACAATGATACTGCATTGTTTATATAATGATGTTTGTACGGTTCACATATATATAAAATCTCCTTCTACCAGACCCCATCCCCAAAGCTCCAACTCCAACTCGGCTGGAACGAAACCTTTGGAGCTGCCGTAGCTGATAAAGCTTCAGTGTAACGCCTGACGATGTCTTCATTCCCCTACTGAAGTCTCCCAGCTCAGGCTGACATATTTCAACACCTTGTAGGAGTCCATCCTGCATAATGGAGTGTGATAAGGAAAAGTTAACTTCGTTCCCACTGTGTAACTACCATATAGAAATGGCCAGCAGCACAATGCTAATATATCATTTATTAAATAAAAGAAACCTCCTGTATATACAATTTCTGTTACCCTGCTCTGTGGTGACGGGAACATCTCGATAAAAATAAACCCATTTCTCTTGTGTATATGGGATTAGCCGTTTGTGAGTAATACTAACTGCAGCTCTGCTGGAAGGATACCTTTGTGGCTGCTATCCCCTCAAGGGAGGTTCCTTGACGCTGGCGAGGGGCTCTTGATCTAGGGAATTGGATCTGTGACTCCAGTTCCCTGAATTGAGCCTGAATACTTTCCATTCCCCCCCCCCTACATGCGCTGTATAATCCTACGGGTTTAGCGCTTCCCCATGATTATAATGTGGCTGCTATAACTGATGAACCTTTAATGGGATACTTGACGCTATCCTTAGTGGTAGTTGTCACAGTTACTCTTCTGCTGATGGAACCTCCCAAAGGAGCTGTCACGAAGAGAAGTTTCTAAGGTTGTATAAAGGATTTGGTTGGGTACGTAGAATGAAATCAAAGTGAACATAGCCAAGAGCAATGAAAGATTAGCGGGAGGGTATACAGGGGAAGAGAATGCATTCACATATTTACGAGTGAATACGTCAGCAGATGGGCCTATGGAAAAGAAAAGGTAGGTGGTATGCTGAGGTATGTGTGGAAAGAGAAAAAAACTTCACTACAGAGGCAATAGGAGGAATCTACCAGAGCATACTGGTACCACACTGACTAGGTGCGAGACATGGTCTGTAAACATGACTGAGGAGGAGGCTGGAGGCAGTGGAGATGTCGTGTTTGAGAGCAATGTGTGGTGTGAATATCATGCAGAGAATTCATAGTGCAGAAATTAGAAGATGGCGGGTATTTATTCAAGGAATTATTCAGTGGGCTGCGTAGGGTAGATTGAAGTGGTTTGAGCATTTAGAGAGGTTGGAGCAAAATAGGTTGACGAAAGTGTGTAAAAGTCGTGGGTGGAACGGAGGAGGGTAAGGGTCATCCCCAGGAAGGGTTGAAAGAAAGTAAATAAACAAGTTTTGAATGCTAGAGGCCAGAGCACCCAGCATGCTTGTGTCTTAGATCGGAATAAGTGGAGACGAGTGTTACCTATGAGGGACCCCTGATAGGTGACACTCGCCTAGAAGAGGCCCCTGATAGGTGACACTCGCCTAGAAGAGGCCCCTGATAGGTGACACTCGCCTAGAAGAGGCCCCTGATAGGTGACACTCGCCTAGAAGAGGCCCCTGATAGGTGACACTCGCCTAGAAGAGGCCCCTGATAGGTGACACTCGCCTAGAAGAGGCCCCTGATAGGTGACACTCGCCTAGGAAGAGGCCCCTGATAGGTGACACTCGCTAGAAGAGGCCCCTGATAGGTGACACTCGCCTAGAAGAGGCCCCTGATAGGTGACACTCGCCTAGAAGAGGCCCCTGATAGGTGACACTCGCCTAGAAGAGGCCCCTGATAGGTGACACTCGCTAGAAGAGGCCCCTGATAGGTGACACTCGCTAAGAAGAGGCCCCTGATAGGTGACACTCGCTAGAAGAGGCCCCTGATAGGTGACACTCGCCTAGAAGAGGCCCCTGATAGGTGACACTCGCTAGAAGAGGCCCTGATAGGTGACACTCGCTAGAAGAGGCCCCTGATTAGGTTGACACTCGCCTAGAAGAGGCCCTGATAGGTGACACTCGGCTAGAAGAGGCCCCTGATAGGTGACACTCGGCTAGAAGAGGCCCCTGATAGGTGACACTCGGCTAGAAGAGGCCCCTGATAGGTGACACTCGGCTAGAAGAGGCCCCTGATAGGTGACACTCGCCTAGAAGAGGCCCCTGATAGCTGACACTCGCCTAGAGGGCCCTGATAGGTGACACTCGCCTAGAAGTGGCCCTGATGGTGACACTCGCCTAGAGAGGCCCACCTGATAGGGTGACATCGACTAGAAGGAGGCCCCTGATAGGTGGACACTCGGCTGAAGAGGCCCCTGATAGGTGAACTCGGCTGAAAGAGGCACCTGATAGAGTGACACTCGGCTAAAGAGCCCCTGTAGGTGACACTCGGCTAGAGAGGCCCCTATAGGTGACACTCGGCTTAGATAGAGGCCCTGATTAGGTGACACTCGGCTTAGTAAGGGCCCCTGATAGGTGGACTCGGCTAGAAGAGGCCTTGATAGGTGACACTCGGCTATTGAGTAGCCACTGATAGGTGACGGGTCGGTACGAGCGGCCCCTGATAGTGACACTCGGCTAGAAGAGGCCCCCTGATAGGTGGACACTCGGCTAGAAGAGGCCCCTATAGGTGACACTCGGCTAGAAGAGGCACCCTGTAGGTGACACTCGGCTAGAAAGAGCCTCACCTGATAGTGTCACTCCTAGAGAGGCCCCTGATAGCTTGACAATCGCTAGAAGAGGACACCTGATACTTGCACATCGCCTAGAAGAGGCCCTGATAGTGAACTGCCATTAGAAGAGGCCCCTGATTAGCTGACACTCGCCTAGAAGAGGCCCTGATAGCTTGACACTCGCCTACAAGAGGCCCCTGATAGCTGGACACTCGCTATGTGAGGCCCTGATAGCTGACATCGTGGTGGGATCTGGTAGGTGACACCTTGGATGGCACTGCTAGGTGAGGGGTGGGTGAGACAATTCTCCATCGACCACTCGTCGGGAAAGGGAAGGGGAGGTTAGGGAGGGGGGGGAGAGGGGGAAGTGGCCTTACCCACCGACTCCCAACTTTTTCCTGATAACAAGACAGAATAATCCACATTTTCCCCCTCCCCTCCCCTCCCCCCCCCTTCCCCCTTTCCCCCCTCCCCCCCCCTTCTTCGATTAAAATTTATAGGGAAACGTTGCTGGGTGAGTAAGGGCACCTGCATGCTTTGTGTGTGTGTGTGTGTGTGTGTGTGGTGTGTGTGTGTTTGTGTACTCATGTTGTACTCACCTTGGAGGCTGGGGGGTCGGTCCGAGCTCCCGGCCCCGCCTCTTCATGTGTACTAGGTCCTCTCCCTGAGCCCTGAGCTTTTCATACCCCCTTTCTTAAAGCTATGTATGGATCCCGCCCCCAAAAATCGTTCCCAAAAATATTCCATTAAAGACACTTGTGGCTGAAGAAATCTTCCTAACATCCTGTGATTATCTGTGTCTTCAGCTCCAAAATGTGTCCCCTTGTTACTGTGTCCAAAAATCTGGAACATCCCGTCTTTGTCCACCTTGTCAATTCCTCTCAGTATTTTGTATGTCGTTATCATGTCCCCCCTATCTCTCCTGTCCTCCAGTGTCGTCAGGTTGATTTCCCTTAACCTCTCCTCGTAGGACATACCTCTTAGCTCTGGGACTAGTCTTGTTGCAAACCTGTGTGTGTGTGTGTGTGTGTGTGTGTGTGTGTGTGTGTGTGTTACCATTTTCTCTTAGGCACATGTCGATTAGACACTAGGTCTGTTGTGTTTGTGTGTGGGTGTGTGCGTGCGCGCGTGTGCATGTGTACCTACGTGTGTGTGTAATTGCTTAATTATTTGTAATTACTATATTTCGTGCCGAATTGTTAAAACTGGTCGGTTAGCAAAACCTCATTTAAAATTAAGTCCTTTCTATAATTTTTTTCTTATACGTTTAAAGATTTTTTTTTCATTATGTTAATGTAAAAATTAATAATTTGGTACCAAAAGATCCTTAGAAAACTTACCTAACCTTATTATAGCACTCGAATAGGTAAAACTTGCTATTTTGGCTTAAATAGCAACGCTTTTCTTGCCGAATAAGGGAAGTGAAAATTTGTATATGCATTAATTTCGCAAAAATCATTCGTAACCTAACGAAAAAAAATATATTTCATTGTGTTTCTTTATTATTAAATTATTGTAAACTTATTTAAAATATATTTAGTTGGATTAGACTAAATTAAATTGCTCTAGTTATTAATTATTTTTAATTTTTACATTAACGTAAGTGAAAAAATATATCTTTAAACGTATGAGAAAATTTTAGAAAGGACTTAATTTTATATTAGTTCCTGCTAATTGACCAATTTTACCTATTCGGCACGACATATATATATATATATATATATATATATATATATATATATATATATATATATATATATATATATATATATATATACACGAGGCTGTTGCAACGATAAATCTGTATTGTTTACATATGTATTGTTAGATTTACGTATATCATTGTCTAATTTCCATACCCTCGCCTTACTATTTATTTTCTCTTTTGTATAAATTTTATTGTCGCCGGAGATATCCTCACAAATATTTTCATTTTCCTGTATATGGGATAAGCCATGCTTAGAGATAATATTTCTCAAGTAACAGTAACCCAAGTAATAGTAACCTTTGAAGCTGCTGCAGCTGATGAACCTTTAATGGAATTCTGGACGATATCCTCATTGACCTATTCATGTCATCCTGCGGGATGGAATGTGAGAGGGAAACACAGCTAGCTTTAGTTGCCACTGTGTAACAGTTATATAGAACAGGGTAGCAGCACACTGCTGATGTATCCAGTTCTACTAAATTGTAGAATAAATAAAAACTTCCTCCTACTGTTCTCTTTGCTATTCACTCCTTTATGCTCCTGCATCTAATCCGATTACCATCCCCCGCCCCCTCATCCACTTTCCCAGCACACCTAGCATATCCTGACCCCGTCCACCTCCCAATACACCTTTCATTCCCTACACCTCATCCACATTCCCAACACACTTATCCCTCAGCACTCCACCTCCCCATCACAAGCTGAACTTCTTGTTAATGAAGACAACAGGATAAGACGATGCCTGGAGGCCACAGTCATACAAGGCAACCCTAAATGATTGGATGGATAACGAGAATCTTCAAGGCAAGAGATGCCAAGCCATTGATGATCTTTAAGTCAATTGTTATCTCAAGGATGCTGTACTTAACAGCCCCCTTCAGGGCAGGAAAAATTGCAGGCTTAGAGAATGTACGGAGACTTCGCTGCATGTATGAATTCAGTAGAGCACTTAAAGTACTGGAAAGTTTGAGATCCCTTGACCTGTACTCCTTGGAAT